AAATGCCTAGTCTTCGGCGGCGGTGGCAAGTTGGATTTGCGTTTTTGTTGCCAACCCTGGGAAGGCGTAGGACGACGCGCATGATTTGTAGCGTCTTCATGTAGAGTTCGGACTATGAGACAACTGCCAGGGACGCGAGATGGGATGCACTGCAGCGGACGGCAATGCATCGAAAGTGAACGGATTGAAGGAGGAGAGGGTTGCGCGCTAAAAAGTTGACCACGGTGGACGCTTTTGGATTTTCACATTCGTGTGTTTCGTTCCCTCTTGGGTCTTTGGCCTGCTTTGCCCTTGCCACTCGTGGATCCACCATCTCGGATATGTTCAAACGCGTACAAAAGCGGGTATGGAAGCTGGAGAAAGAGGAAGAGCTGGGACTGGATAGCGAGATGAAGGAGGTGCTGGGTTTGCAAGACACTGACTCCGAGGAGAGCGACTCTAGCAGCTCTGAGTCAAGCTCAGATGACAAAGGGGCTGATTGGAGGGCCGAAGAGGGGGACGTCGAAGAGGAAGAGGTCGAAGAGGATAGCGAGGAGGAGATGGAAGGTATGGAGAGTGAGGCAGGAGAGGATAGCGAAGCCGAGAACGAGTTCCCGCCAATGTCCGCCACTCAAGCCGTCAGCGACCCGCTGTACATTATCTCTATGGACCCGGACGTTCGCGCGTGTATTCTCTGTCCAGGAAAGCTGCTGAAGAACTCAAGAATGGAGGATGTGCACAAGTCATCAAAGGTGAGCACAGCATGTCCCGTGCCATATTTCCGATGGTTCAAACAGTTGATAGCTCTTAGGCACATAATCGGCGATTCACGCATTTCGTCGAGCTAGTATCGAGAGCTGGTCCCGAGGGCAATGTTCGGGATCTCATCCGCCAGCTAAACGAAGAGAGCAAGGTACAAATCGAGCCAAAGCCAAAGGAGGGTGGGTTCTCAAAACGTGCAGAGAAAAGGGTGCGCATTACGTTCCATCCTCCTGCAGTATACGCTAATTTATGTTACAGAAAGCCAAGCTCGCCATCATCAAAGCTAAACGTGCAAAGCATAAAGAGATTGTCAAGAGGAGGCGTAAACAGGCGGAGAAGGCCAAGACTACCGATGACACGTCCAAGTCTTCTGCAACTCCATCTGACGAGCCTCCACGAAAGAGACGTAAGGTCGAGGAAAAGGTCGAGGATAAGTTGGCCGTCAAGTACGTCAAAACTTTGTCCAAGCCAAGCAAGGTGACCAGCGCGAAGGACGCATCGAAGCCTTTAAATAAGGCAGAGGCGAAAACTAAGGAAGATCAGCCTGCGACACCTGCCGTTCCGTCAGAGGAGGCCTCCGCAAAACCTGGTACTGCAATAGCAAAATCTCTAAAAGAACCGCTAAGAGCGAGCGTAAGGGTTAAGGCTAGCAATGCGTTGAAAAAGTCCACCGAGGACGCGAAAGTTAGAAGGCACTGAGAGAAGTCTGTGTGAAGCACCGAATAAAATGTATGCTCCGGCGTCAACACTATATATATCCAGACGCGTTCATTCTATATACTACATGTATAAATACTGAAGGAGTGTGAGGCTCTGATACCGAGCGAGAAGTAGGGCGTCGCGTAGTCCGATCGAGTGGGAATAGGGGCTAGCCGTAGAGATGTAACGATCAATCATAGTCGCTGAAGCAGCTTGTCAGTCATTTCTACGACCTGTAGGCGCAGCGTCAATGATTAGTTGCTACGTGGACAGCCATTCAACACCACGTACTTGATGAATGTCTGGTCGGTCTTGCGGGTTAACTTTGAGCGTTGAGTCGATGAGCTCTTTGAGACCTTGTGAGTATTGCGAGCTGGGGTGCTTGTACTGCGCATTCATGACTGCCATAGCTATCGAGCCGCCCTGCTCCGTAGTCTGCGTGTTTTCGAAAGGAGAATGCGAGTAGGCTAGAGCAAAGAGCGTGCAGCCTAGAGACCAGATGTCCACCTTCTCGTCGAGGGTGATGCCAGTTTTCACATCGAACAGCTCGGGCGCTCGGTATGCCATAGTACTCTGCTCAGCAGCAATATCTTGCTGCAACAGCGCTTGGGAGCGGTTTTCGATCTTGATGCGCGCCTTCGTGGCACTGCCAAAGTCCATGAGGATTGGTCGGCCGTCGTCCGCAACCATAACGTTTCTGTGCGCGGTTAGCCCAGCAGCAGCTGGAGGACAGACAGTGGACCCACCCAGGCTTCAAATCTCGATGCGCGTAGGGCACCAACTCCGTGTCTCCAGGGGTTGCACCATTCTCCACACCACTTTGTTGAATACGTGCAAGCTCTTCGTCTCCGTCAAAGATCGCTTCTCCCACGTCTGGACCTCTGTTGAGGAGAGGAACAGATGATCGACTCGCCGGTCCATGGTATGAGTAGCCACCCTCAGCATCGCCCTCGGGTTGCGGAAGCATCGCGTCATCTTCGTCATCAGAGTGACCGTTATCAGCATTAATGTTCCGTTGTGGCTGCTGCGGCCGCCGGTCGGCCGATGAGGATTGGTTTTCTCGGGAGACGCGAGGGTTGGAGCGGGAGGCAATGGGCGCGCGATAATCGTGCATGGCCCGTACAGCTTCACAGGTCCCCTTGAACAGGCGGAGCATCTCCTTTTCAGAGAAGTGTGTGCCATTTATCGAATTAGCGTTGATAGCATCTTGGAGATTTCCCCTCTGCAAATTCTTGAGTTCAATGTTGGCAGACGTAGGATGTACGGCTAACCTTGTAGAGAGGTAGGAAGAGATACACTACTTGACCGTCACCAGCGGAGTCCTGTACAACCGCCGAATCCTAGACATCATCGTCAGGGTGAATGGATTATGCCTTCAGCAGCGGAGACATACGAGAATGCGAATGATGTTCGGGTGTCTGCGTTCTGAGGACTCAGTCCGGCACTCATTATCCTGAGAAAGCCGGGGCCACATACTTGAACCGCCTATACGCCTCAACTTCTCGCATAGCTTGCCGGACGTCCTCGTTCCCACCGGGACATCGGATCTTCTTCAAGGCGAACTGCCTCTATAGCTGCTAGTCAGCACGAACAAGATTTTACAACGGTACAGCATATTCACCCCACTGTGCTCATCCTGGGCGAGGTACACGAAAGAAAATCCTCCTTCACCTAAGACTTTCACAATCTTGACTACGCGTGGTCGTCAGCATGAGTCCGATAATCCAGAGGGTGCTGCTTCAAAGCGCAGTTGCGACTGACATGTTCGCCCGTTGATCTTGATCTTGGCAGACTGTTGGCAAATACAAGATGATAGAGCCCAAAAAGCGTCTTTTGCCTGAAATTTGAGGCTTTCGATTGTATGCAGCAGCTGCTGTGGCAGGGCCATGGTTGTTGTGGGAGGAAAGATACGTCAGGGAATGGTGAACGCGACTCGGCGTGTCGCCGCGACCGCTGGGCGCCTGCACCCCTGCGCAGCTCGGTGCACGGAGTTTGCCATCATAACTGTTTTGGAAAGTATCGTTGTTCAGCGACTGTTGCCAGCTGTTGCCTCCACTTCGGTCGGCCCACAAATGAGAGAAACAAAAATTTCGCTACTCATTCTGAGATCATTGGTATATAAATTCTTGCAGCGAATATTAAAGGCCGATATCTCTATCTCGTCGTTCATAGGCTCATAGCCGGTATTACACGTGGCCATTCTTCTCTCATGCAAAAGAGTATTTTGATTGTGGTAATTTTTTTCATTTTCTCTTTTCTGTTCTCGTCTCATCTTTTCTTTTTCGATGGACTGTCGATATGCGGGATCACGACAAATGTTGCTATGATGGATGGCATCCAGACCCGAAACGGATACCGGAAACGATACATAGCGCCAGAAACTGCTTACGTAATATGCATCCATCGTTCGATGTGGGAGACGAAGAAATCGCGTCTGGATCATAAAATAAATAGTGTCCATGCGAGAGGCAGCGTTTCCCGGCTTGCTCTCATCCCCACACTCTGAGCAGCGGACGTCCTCGTCGCAACTATGTCTCTCAACCAGTACGGGCCCATTGCAGGCCTCGTCGGCCAAGCCTACGACTCCTTTGCGTCCATGTCCGCCACAAATCTCGCCCTCTTCCTCCTTGTCAACATCCCCGTGCTTTCGATTGTTTGCAACGTCATCTACCAGCTGGTAAGCATGTAACCCACGTTTTGGTAGACGCACTCTCAGTCTTCCTCAGTTACCGAAGGACAAGTCGCTGCCTCCGGTAGCGTGGCATTGGATTCCGTGGTTTGGCTCTGCGGCCGCGTATGGACAGGATCCCATCAAATTCTTCTTTGACTGCAAGGAGAAGGTGGGCGAGCGTGTCTCTGGCTTTTGGTGCATCATGCTGAAAAACGTGCAGTATGGCAATGTCTTCACCTTTATCCTTTTGGGACGTAAAGTCACTGTGGCGCTCACATCAGCTGGCAACAACTTTATCATGGGTGGGAAGCACACGACCTTTTCTGCTGAGGACGCATACACAGTACGTATACCGAGAGTGCTTCTCGTATACATTCTAACGCGCCTATAGCATCTGACAACCCCCGTCTTCGGTAAAGACGTCGTGTACGACTGTCCCAATGAGCTCCTCATGGAACAGAAGAAGTTCGTCAAGTTCGGCCTCTCGACAGAGAACTTCCGTCAATATGTCTACATGATCGAGGACGAAGTCACTCAGTTCATGAAGAACGATGCTGGCTTCAAAGTTTTCCAAATGAACGACATCAACGAATGGAGCTCTTTCGACGTCCTGAAGGTTATGTCGGAGATTACGATTCTGACCGCTTCTCGCACTTTGCAAGGCAACGAAGTTCGGGCCAAAATTACCAAAGAGTACGCTCAGATTTACAGCGACCTAGATGGCGGCTTCACCCCTCTTCACTTCATGTTCCCTAACCTTCCACTCGAATCCTACCGCAAGCGTGATGCAGCGCACAAGAAGATTAGTGATTTCTATATCAGCATCATACAGAAGCGTAGGG